TTCTATGTATCTCTATTTTCTCCATCAAACAATTCTCCCCTTTTTTTCTGTTCTTGCATTCCACCATCTGTTTTTTCTTGGGCGGTGCTTAGCATTTCTCTAACTATTCTACTTATCTCTTGCTTTATTTCATTAAATACTTCATTTTTAAACTCATCTATGAGGCTCTGGAGAGATTGCTTCATGTCTATTGGTGCTGTGTCTGATACTGCATGTTTTCTGTCTTCCTTTGCATTTCCCTTTCCTGGATCAGTGTTCTCAGGATTGGGGATTGAGGACCCTTTCATGTTCTTTCCTCTTCCCATACTTTTTGTTCCTTCCATACAAGCGAATGTAGGAAGCCCATTTTTTTTTTTTTCTTTTTCGGTTACAGTTTGAATTGCGCCGGCTAGGTGTTCCCGCCCACTGCAGTGTACTAGGGAGACACAGACCTGGGCAGCCTCTGCTGGGCCCGCCCCTACAGGTCAATCTATGGAAGGCTTCACTGCTAGGATGCACCTCCAGGTGCTGGGACCTGTGTTGGGCTCGCCTACTGGGTCTAAGTCCCTGGTGTCACGCAGGCCAGGCGTTCCGCACCAATCCCGCTTGAGAGGGGAATATGTGACTGAAGTCACTGCTGTGCCCCGTTCCGGCCAGTCTGCCCGGTCCCAGTATGTCCTTTGCTGGAGCCTCCTACTCTATGAAAGGGTCCCCGTTCCCCTCACTCACCGCAAGTCGATATAGGGCTCCCTGCTATCCGGCTCTCAACTCCATTCGCATCCTGCTCTCAGAGTTTTTGCGTGTCTCTCTCCCTGCCCTGCAGATTTGGACACAGCAGCAGCAGCAGCAGCAGCAGGAAATTCAGATCGCGGCTTCCAGTGGCGCGGCTTCTAGCTTCCGCGCTGAGATTTTGTCTCTTCCTGTTACAGCACCAGGGTTGGATTTCCAGTTGGTTTCTCTTAGCTTAGTTCGTTCCTGGGTCAGCAGGGTATATTTCCCCTTGCTTAGGACTCCTCGTACTGCAGCATTCCTGGATTCTAAGCGGGGTACCTCAGAGAGCCTCGGTAGCTGCCGCTATATATCCACCATGTTCTTCTGGAAGTCCCTCATGATTTACATTCATTTTGGGGTTTTTTTTGTTTTTTGTTTTTTTTTTTTTTTTGGTCTTTTTCGTTTTTATCGGTACCGGGGGATCGAACTCATGACTGCCTGCTTGCAAGGTAGGTGCTTATGCCACTGAGCTAAATCCCCAGCCCCCATTCATTTTGAATATAAGTGCCAGTAGATAGGCTTAGGATAAAGCCTTAAGGGTGTCTCTAGTTTTTAGAAAAGGTGGATTGCTTCTGTTCTTTGTATTGGTCTTGCCTTGGTCTGTTTTTAGTCGCTAAGACCAAGTAAAACTGAGGCAGCCATAACTACTAGTTAGATGATTAGTTTTTATCTTCAAGATAGTATAGTGTTGAAATTATAGAAGTGTTTAAAAATGCAAACAATGTGTGTTTTGTTCTAAGTTCTGAGGTTTCTTTTCCATGTTAAACATTGTGTGGTGAGAGTACCTGTGATTCTTATGTGTTCTTCAAGTTTTCCATTTTTGTGCAGCTTTTTGGGTTGCACCTTATTAGCTTCTTGGATTGGGCAAGGATTGTAGGTTAGGTGGGACCGATAGTGGAGACAGAATTGGATTTTTCTGGCAGATTGTTAGGAACTTGTCATTGAGTTCACAAGCCTTTGCCTCAAGAACCAGTGCGAAATAAACTTTGGTGGTTAATCATGAGACCAGGAGGTAGGGGTGAGGCAGGAAGATGGGGGAGAGACATGATAAAAATTCCTGGACACATGTGCAAAACCATTTCCTGTGCCCTACATGTGGGCTTCTCTCAAAAACTCAAACAGGTTTTTGACAGGATAACAGATGTGATGCCAGCATGCAAATATAAAAAAGAGACCCATTGTCTGTCCTTAAGTTCTGGCCCCCCATTTCTTCATGGTAGCCCACTCTACACTGTAGGGTGTATTGCTTTTCTCCTTTTACTTGGCCCACACTTACTCTGCTGAGCCTGCTTTTTCTCTGTGTTTGCTCTAAAACTTACTCTGCGGAGCCTTTTTTCTTGCCTTTAATAAATATACAACTTTGCCACCATTTATGTTTGTTTTGTTCAATTTTTTTTGTTTAGGGTAGGAGGAACCTAGCAGTCAGCTCTAAAAGGAAACTGTACTACCCATGAGCATGGTAACAGAGGGGCAACAGGTAGATTAGGGCAGGGGCTTGAATAAATGATATAAACTGAGCAAACTGAAGGCCAAGAGCTGATGATGTGAGATAAGCCTTGAGGGAATGCAAGAGACAAAGACCTAATTAGAGCACAAAGGGGTTTTTCTTTCCAAGATCTATTTTAAAATGATTCAACACAAGAGAAAGTTGTCACGTGAGGTATGATTTGAAGATGTGTCTTTAATGTCCAGGAATGGATTTCAGAACTATTAATTTGTTTTATCTAAATAGCTGGTTATAGTTCAACAGGTATTTCTTGATTTATATTTATTTTTACTTTGGTAATGTGTTAGTTACTTTTATTGTTGCCAAGACAAAACACCCAACACCCACAAGATAAGTCAGGAGAGGTTTATTTTACCTTATAGTTTGTAGAGGTTTCCGGCCATAGTTGCATGGCAGAGTGGCATCACAGAGGAAGAAGTCCTTGGCAAGCAGGCAGGAGACAGCAAAGCAGCAGCAGCTTGCCTCTCCTTTATCTCTTCCAGAGTACCAGCCTTTTGGGTGGTACCCACTCAAATGTAGGGCAGGTCTTCCTGTTATCTGTATCCAGAACTATGTTAAACCAACCAGTGAATTGATTTACTAATCATGCACCCTTAATCCCAGCTTCACACAATTTAATCCCAGTATCACACATGCTAGATCCCACTCCTCCCCAAATTCCTCTAGTTAGGTGTGCATGAGACTTTGCAAATCTTTTTTCTTTTCCAAATGAAATGGTACCTTGAACTTGATTTATGAAACAAATCAAAGCAATTTTATATTCATATAAATTCATTTTATAAGTTTTTCATGGCATTATCAGTTAATGAGAGCAAGATTTTTGATCATTGTGAACCCTTTAAACATTAAAATGGTTTTAGTTGTATTTTAGCATAATTTTCAAGTTTATTTCTTCATTTGAAAATTTTTTTATCCAGGCCTGGTGGCACATGCCTATAAATTCCAGCACTTGGGAGGCTGAGATGGAGTGGAGGGGGAGGGGATTTCTACAAGTTTGAGACCAGCCTGGGCTACATAATGAGACACTATCTCAAAAAATGTAAAAAAAATCTTTATGGGCTTTTTTGTGGTTAATGTTAATAGGGTGTTGCCATGTTCATCATGCTTTTCATGAACTCTTGGGCTTAGATGATCTTCCTGTTTCAGTCTTCTGAGTGGCTGGAACTAGAAGTACACCCCACTGTGCCTAACTTATAGATAGTGTGTAATAGAACGAACGGGTTGACTTGCATGGGAAGGACATTTTTCAATTAAATTGACATAGAAGTTTGAAAGAGTGATAGAGGGCCAATCTTTACCATAAAGGTGAAGTTTAGACAAGAAAGTCCCTTGAACTCAGAAGTACTGTAGCTATTATGTTTTATCATTACTCAGCCAGGGTCTGTTCCGTTGTCGTTGTTTAGCTATCATACTGGGACTGCAATGTGAGTGAGGGGCACTGCTGCTGGCATTGCTTAAACATGACTCATGTGTGAAGCACTGCACTTGCTCGAGCTAGATAATATGGATGGCCTTGTTCTAGGCTGATTTAGCTTCTGTAATTGACGGTTGTCTTAAGTACTGGTTTATCCACAGAGATTGGCCAAGGTTCCATAGTTGTCATATAAGTGAATTATCAGTTGGTAGCCTCTGGTCTGATAGTTTGACATATAACAAATTTGGACATGTTTTAAAATGCAGTTTTTAGCTAGGTGTGATGGCACACATCTATAATCCCAGCACTCTAGGAGGATGAGGCAGGAGGATTGCAAGTTTGAGCCCAGACTGGATAACTTTAGTGATTTAGCAAGATCATATCCCAAAATTAAAAAGGGTTTAGGATATAGCTCAGTGTAAAGAGCTCTGGATTGAATCCTTAGTTACCACCCAACAGACGCACACAAGCAGCTTTTATAGTTAGCTCTCTGGAGGTAAGGGAGAGGTTTGGGGAAGGGAGATGGAAAGGAAGAAAGGAATTAAGAGATAATTAAAATATCGGGAATACATTTGTTTTCTTGATTATATCTGAGGTAGATCCTTGCCAGTAAGATTCAGATGTGGTTTGGGAACACTCTTCTTTTTGCACACAGGTTATGTGGTGTTTTGACTCAAGCTCGTTGTTACAACTGTTGTTCCCTTACTGTACTGAGTGCAAAGGAAGTGGGTTGTTGGGGCTGCATATGGACGTGGGAGAAGGATGGACCTTGGGGTTCAGTCCTCTGCCTTGTCATTCTCAACCTGAGCAGTCTAGTTCTCTGTTAACTAATTTTGAGTCCCTCTTCTACTTGGCTGTCAGTTGAACCTTAATTTCTGTTAGCTGCTCTTGCAAGATTGAGAGCTGGACTGTATGCATGATTCCTGAAATGCCTTCAGAAGCCCTGGCAGAATCCGGGCAGCAGTGTAATATAACTGCTCTGAATCAAAATTGACTAATCAGACATGGGGCAAATAGGTTGTAGACAGAGACTCTTAAAGCTCCACGAATCTCTTCACTCTGCCTGTTAAGGAAATTTCAACATCTTTCTAGAATTGAATTTTGAATTATAAATAATTGAAAACTACACAATAACATGAATTTATGAAGATATTAAAATTTTGAGTTTGGGGCCAGTTGGGAAATTCTAGATTTTCTGGATCAGACCATGTATTTGAAAAATGTCGAACCTCATATTTTGAGGAAATAACTTCCTCTTGCTGTTGAGTATAACCTGGGAGGAACTGAGGAGCAGTTGAATTTTGTTATTTTTTCAAATTTCTTTGTCAGGCATCTGAAGAAGCCTCCCTCAGAGCATTGGAAAGTCTGATGACAGAATTTTTTCATGATTGTACAACGAATGAAAGAAAACGTGAGATAGGTAAGTGAAATGTTGAGTTGCAAAGAATCATTTATAACAAGTGAGGAAGAAGGAGTTGGTAGCCGTAGCTGCTCACACCTGCATGTTTTCCCTTGAATTCTTGCCCTTTTTGCTCTGGTTCTACTGGTCAGTGGCTGATATGGTATGCAAACTTAGCACAGTGATGGAATTTCTTTCCTTTATTCAAGTGTAACACACTTTCCCTATTTTATTCCTAATTTTTGCAACATTTCAAACCTGTTTAAGGTGTCTGTGACTGTTTAATAAAACAAAACTAATGAAGATGTGAAAATGAACATGTTTTGGTGTGTAGAGGTCTGATCTGAATCAGTCCCCTAAACTAGTATTACTTTTTGGGAGCATTTAGCTTCCTTTTTTCCTTTCTGCCACTGTTCCCGTTCTTTAGGTTTTTGGGAATAATATCTTCAAACAACAGAGAGAATTAGGTATAACCACTTTTTATATTTGCCCAATAAACAATATGAAAGTGTACTGTAATGTAGGAAATGAATTCAGTGTCAGATTTCTGCCCTAGGAATACACTGCACTGTGGTGCTGGAGCTGTCCGTCTGCCCTTGTGTCTTCACCCCTGAACTTGAGAATGATATGTGGTTTTTTTTCTATTTAAACATTCAGGCTTTTCCTTTGAATATCTGAATACCTGTACTAGTCTTGTAGTTTTTGCTTCTGCCTTCTTGTGGTCTTTTCTGCGGCTCTGAACTGTAGAGGCCTATTTCTCTGTCTCCCTTACCTTCTCTAATCATGTTGGCCAGTTAAATCTTGTAATTGAGTTCATGTGGCCCAGAGTTTAGTTGGGCTTCAAAATTTTCTAGGTGGTCAAGTGGCAGAGACCCTGAGTGGTAGTGGTAATGATAAGGGGGCTTACAGTTGGAAGAGAGAAATTAGAAACCAGCCCTCCTTCTACCTATTTTAATTTTCTTCTTTTGTTTTTGTGGTGCTGGGAATCAGATCCAGGGCCTCGCATATGCTACTAGGCCAGTGCTCAGCTACCAAATTATGACCCCGGCCCAAAACTAGTATTTTAGCAACCATTTATTAACTGTAAAAATTTTCTAGACTTGGTGGAATCTGAGTCATAAAATGGTAATGGCAGAGCTCTTTTGGCATTGAGGTGTGTTGAGCTTATTTGTGGTTTTTCATAGTTGCAGTGTTCTGTGTTACCTTTTTCAGTCGTCCCTGATGGAAATTTAGTTGTTTTCCAATCATTTGTTTTCCGATGTTAACATGAAGATCATTTTGCACTTAAATTTTGGAGACAAAAACAGTTGCCAAAACAAAACAGTTGCCAAAAGACAATTTCTTAAAATTCTGGGTGAATTTTCTATGCATTTAAAATTTTGGTCCTTTGAGGTAGCACCAAACTTTTCCTGCTCACATTGTAGGAGGGTGAAAGAGGTGATTTCCATTCCTTGTATTCACTGCTGTGTTTGAAGTTTTTTTCCTCACATCTTTTAAACATTATATCTCCTGATAGATGCTACTTCTTACTTCTTTTAATTAAATTAATTAATTAACAAATTTTTTATACCAGGGGTTGAATTCACAACCTCTTGCTTGCCAGGTAGGCATTTAATGTCGCTGAATAAATCCCCAGTCCTAATTAATTTAGTTTTGTCTTTCTGAGTTCAGGGTGGCCTTGAGCTCACTTTGTAGCCCAGGCTGGTCTCAAACTTGCAACCATCCTCCTGCCTCAGCCTCCCAAGTGCTGGGATTACAGGCATGCACCATTATGCCCAGTTCCTCTTTTAATTTTAAACATGGTTGTTTTGGGCCTATTCACTGCATGCCTTTGCTTTCTGAAGGAGTGCACTATGAAGAACTAGGACATTTTTGCACAAGGACTCACTGATGGAAGCCAAGAGATGGCATCTTGCTTCTCTGGTTCTTTGATTATTCAAATGGACTGATCCTCTTTCTACCCTCAAAGTAACCCCCTTACTAGTTGTATGCTACTAAGGTCTCATATACTTACAGTGAAAATATCAGTCATGACTTTCACCAAAGAAGGTGGGGGATCTTTACATTGTTCAGTTATATTTCTATTCTCTTAATTTCTTGAAAGGCCTTTTTTTAAGCTTAAAATTGAAATGTTTTTTGCTTTCTCTTAATTTTTGATTTGTAGATCAAATGTTGCTCATCTTGTGTGTTTATGAAATAAAAGTAGAACCTCTTTATAACATGCCCATATTTGAATATGATTTAAAAATAGTTTTAAATAACCAGCTGCTGCAAATGTCTAATTTAAATGCAGGTCAGGGGAATCTGGAGGTTTGGTTTTATGCAGTGGTGTGTCTGAGTTCTCTTTGTACCTGTGCTTTGTGGCTTTGAGTATGTGACAGGAACCACTCTACTTCTTTTTTTCTTGTCTTAGGAGAAACCAAAGGCTTTTCCTAGTGAGATGGGAGAAAAGAGGGTGGCCTTTTCTTTAAAGGGCTGTTCTCACACTCCAGCAAAGACAAATTGTTAGTGCTGTAGAGAACAATGGAGCTGTTAGTGGAGACCTCAAGAGACCATCTAGTCATTTTAACAGTGGAAAAATGGAAGACCAAGAGGAGAATGGCTTGCTTGGGTTCATGCTAAGAGAATTAGTGGCAGAGTCTAGAACAGAGAGTCCAGAGTGCTTCCTTTCCAGCCATAGTCTGGTTTGACTTCACCCCTGGGATTCATAGAGCCTTCTGCTTAATTATCAGCACAGGCCATCAGCTTTCTTTTATGGAATTTTTAATAAGAATGTCTTCTCTTAAAAAAAAAAAAAAAAAAAAAGGGAATGTCTTACTACATTTAGCCTAAATTGTAGAGAACTGGCAGAGCAGTGATTAGGGTGAGCTGCTGTGTATTCTTCTTCTGTAGGCTTTCTAGAAGCTCTCAAAACTGTTTTTTTTTTTTAAACTTTAAATTATATTTTATGACCAGTGCTACAGATCAGGATGACTGCGAGGCAGCACGTCCAGGAAGATGTTGATAGGTTCTTTGTGGGTTTTGGCTGATGCTGTCAACCGCCTTAAAAAGTGGAAAACCATTTCTAGCTGGTTGGATATGTGGACAGGCTGCAACTGGCAACTCTCATGAGATAAAATTGACCTAAATGAAGAGAGTTAGCCTGTTGGAATTTTCTTGCAATTTTTTTTTTACTCCTGTCCTGTCTTTGTAAGGTCAGTCTTTTTTTTTTTTTTTTTTTTCCTTCCTGTCATAGGGATTCAACTCAGAGCCTTGCACATGCTACCAAGTGCTCTGTTAATGTCCCTAGCCTGTAAGGGTAGTCTTAATCTTTCGTTTTGCAGCTTTTCTAGCCATCATTTGTATGAATATGTGAACAATATAGACTTTGGTGAAGATCGAGAAACAGTGAGGAGGTACATAGCTCAAATCTGAGGACATAACTTAGTCATTTGTGTTAAGGTGAAATGAAGCTGGAGTTTGGAGCACTCCTATAATTCTAGCACTCTGGGATCCTGAGGCTGGAGGGTCACAAGTCTGAGCTGAGCCTAGGCAACTTTGTGAAACCCTGACTCATGCGAACTGGGGTGTAGCTCAGTGTGAAGGCCCTGGTTTCAATCCTTAATAGGGAGCCAAAAAAGAAAAAGAATGTGGAGTGCCATTCCTATTAACTTGTTATGTACATATTAACTTAAATAAACAGTTTCTTTACTCAGGAAAACATCTGTATCAGTGTCACTGGCTTCTAGATGTCTGAGCACAGTGTCATATCAGGAGGTCATATCAGGAAAATACTGTATGATTTGTTTTTTCTGTCTTAAAGGATCAGCAGGGTTTTGATTCTGTTCATATTATATGGAGAGGCATGTTTAGAAAAAATGGTAAAACCTAGCCTTCTACTGATTTCATGTGTTTTTATAGCTTTCTTTTATTGCTAATTTTTTCCAGAGGAGCTTCTTAATAACTTTGCTCAGCAAATAGGAGCCTGGAGATTCTGCCTGTATTTTCTCTCCAGCACTAGGAATGACTATGTCATGATGTACAGTTTAACGGTTTTTGAGGTAAGTTGTCAGATTATTTTATAATTTTCTGAAAAGTTTTTTGTAGTCGGTTATCACATCATTGACACTAGACTTTAGTTTTCATATGCAGACAGCCATAGGAGCGGTGATATCAAAGAGCTCAGTGACTGGCCTGTCTAATGTATCTGCTGGTGTTCCAGGGAACCCTTTTCTCCTCAATCCCAGAAAGACTACCTGGGAGGTTGTCTTCATGATTAAGTATATGGATGTGTTTGATGACATACACATTTTCTCTCTTACCATTTAAAAGGAAGCTAACTAAAGAAAAACAATTTGGGAGAAGGGATGATACCCTTAATACCATCATCCAGCCACAAGATTTTTCTTTTATATTGTCTTCTAGCCTTTGTATTCTGCCTTCTGTGCACATTTTGAAAACATCTAATTAATAGCATGTTACTTGTGCCATTTTGTATTTTGTTCCCCCTCACCTTTATATTATAGTCTCAAAAGTTGTTATGCCATTATTCAGTAAGGCATTCTTCTACTTTTAAACATTATTGTTGTTTTTATCATGATTTTTTGGTGACCATTAGAGACAGTAATGTGATAGAAAGTTTTTACACATACAGCTTTTTGTGTATATATTTAGCAGATCTTCCTATGAGTGGAATTGTTGTGTCATAGATTTTTACTTCTTTTTGCCAGAAACCCTGAACCACTAGGGTTTGTGTGTGTGTGTGTGTGTGTGTGTGTGTGTGTGTGTGTGAGAGAGAGAGAGAGAGAGAGAGAGAGAGAGAGAGAGAGAAAGAAAATGTAGCTAATCATGGGATGAAAACCTGTTATTTTTAAATGTATGTTGTTATTTAAAAGATACGTATTTATTTTTCAGAATCTGATCAATAAAATGTGGCTTGGGGTACCATCTCAGGATAAGATGGAAATCCGTAGCTGCCTGCCCAAACTCCTTTTGGCTCACCATAAAACCTTACCTTACTTTGTCCGGAATAAGCTTTGCAAAGTTATCGTTGATATTGGACGTCAAGATTGGCCCATGTTCTACCATGACTTTTTTACTAACATTTTACAGGTAAAGATATATAATGTTATCTTACAAGTAGCCTATTTATAGAAGTGATTATTTCTTTATTTTGAGGAGTTTTAAGATGAATGTTCTGGAACGGCAGTGGTGAGGTTATTGTAGGAGGGATTTAGGCAGTCACTTAATTTTATTTTCCTCAGACATGTTGTACTTTTGTGCAGTGAAGTGACTACTTTATTAACCTCTTGTGAAATTGTTTAGCAAGTGTTTGCAGGTTTGTTAGGTGCTGTACCAGATGTTGGGTACAGAGATGTACATAATAGTTTCAGAATTTGGAGAGAAAATAGCTGTGTAGATATAATGAGCTATCAGGGAGTGATACTTACTATAATGAAGTATATGCAGAGTGTGGTGGTGTCAGAGCACATGGGCCCAGTGTTCGTATGGTGAGTTATGGGGTGGAGAGGCACTAAAATAAGAGACTACCTTGGACAAGCAGATAGGTTTGATGCTTTGGGGAGCTATTAAAAAGTTTTGAAAAGAGAAAGAGAATGGCCATGTTTGGAGTTTGGATTGTGGAGGAGCAAAATGCAAGAGGGCAGGAGATTGGTAAGGAGGTTGTTGGAGAAGTCTGGGCAAGATGAAGAAGATCTGAACCAAGCAGAGACTTTACTCAGTAGATAGAGGCAAGGCCTTTAGGGAGTTTGGTCAGTGACTAGGTGGGAGGACTGTGGGGAAGAGGAGGAATCAGACTTCAGGTTTTGGTTCAGATAGGTTTTCTAGGCCAGGTAAGGAAAGGGGAATAATTTGGGGCAGAAGGTGATGAATTCAGTTTGGCAAACATTATTTTTAATAAGATTTATGTATTTGTTTCATGGAATATCTGAATCTGGGATCAGGAGAGAGGGTTGGTACATTTTGTCTTAGTTACTTTCTCATTGCCAGGACAAAATGCCCAACACCCAAAGTTAAAGAAGGAAAGGTTTATTGTAACTCACACTTTGTAGAGATTTTTGTTTGTCTTTGGATGACTCCAGTGCAGGGTAACATGGTAGAGGGCCCCAGCAGAGGAGAAACAGTCTATTGTAGGGCAGTTAAGCAGCAGCAAGCAGTGAACTGCCCTTTCCCTTTTATTTAGGCTACAAGCCCATTGGTTGGTGCCACCCCCACCTAGAGTGAGGTTCCTCTCATCCACTCCCAGAACTATGACAAATCAGTCATTGGACTAATTTAGTTACTGTACATCCTTAGTCCATATTCACATACCTTAGATGCAGCCTCCTCTAAAAAGCCTCACATGTGATTGCATGAGACTTTGCGGGGACATCTAGGTACAAGCCATAACAGCTCTAGAGTTGGAAGTCATCAGGAAATAGATGGGACCTAAAAGCTAAAGAAGATAATGTTGCTTATTGAATCCCGTAATAAAAGTTTTCATATTATTAGGTATGTGGGAAATGGATATTATGTACAGTTTATAGAAATAACACTTTAAAAATTGACTATGGTCTAATGACTGTAGGTTAGGGTTTTCTAGAACAATATCATTTTCTAGTTTTTTGCTTGCTTTTCTTCTAAACCATTTGAATGGTTAAGTAGTTTAAAAACCCATGTTGCTTTTTGTAGATTACCTGTCAAAATTCGGTGACTAAAAGTCTGTATTCCTTTTTTATTTTGCTTTATAATTTATCTCTATGAATTGATACTGCAAAGGATATTGATGAATTTATTCCATAAACTTCGTGAAACATCCACTTGTGCTAAACAAGCAGGTAATGATGTGATAATCATCAATGTAGTCCTTCCTTACCCTTGGGATACATTTGACTTCTAGTGGATGCCTGAATGCCTAAAGCACTGATAGTACTGAACTTTAGATATTCTGTGTTCATTCCTATATATACAAACCTATGGTAACATTTAATTCATAAATTAAGCACAGTAAGAAATTAACAGGTAATAAATACTAAAATAGATTATAGCAACATGTTATAATGAAAGTTAAGAGAAGATGGTTTCTCTCTAAATAATTTTACTGTACTTCTATTTTTTTCCTTAAAGGATGCACTTAGGACTTCTTGGTATATCTGAATGATTACTCTTATGCTTTGGAGCTATTAGTAAGTAAAATAGGGTTATTTGAACACAACCATGCAGTACCATGGCTGTTAATCTAATAAATGAGATGGCTCCTGTGTACCTCTTGGGCAGGTAGCATGTATTGCCTGGATACACTGGACAAGGAGATGATGAGCAAGTTGGAGCAGAATGGCACCAGATTTCATCACACCACTCAAAATGGCTTGCAGTTTAAGACTTAAAGAGTCATTTATGCCTGGACTTTCCTGTTTAGTATTTTTAAGCTATTGTTGACTGGTAACTGAAACTTCATAAAGTGAAAATGTGGGCAAAAGGAACTCTTGGGTAAAGTATCTGCCTTTCTGGAGTTCCTAATTTTGATGTGGTGCACTGGCAAACAATAAGCAAATAAGTACTTTGAAGTAGTTCATTGGGGAGAAAATCCAGGTTAAGGGGAAAGAGGCTGTTGTGGGTGTTATTTAGATAGCATGCTCTCAGAGGGCTCTGTAGAGTACAGATATTTTTTATTTTTATTTTTATTTTTTTTTTGTCTTTTTCCTTTTTATCGGTACCAGGGATCGAACTCACGACTGCCTGCTTGCAAGGCAGGTGCTTTACGCCGCTGAGCTAAACCCCCAACCCCAGAGTACAGATATTTGAGCAGAAACCCTGAGTAGAAGTGATGGAGTCCTCAGATATCTAAAAGAACAGTATTTGGGTAGAGTGGAGAGCAAGTGGAGAGAAGTTGAGGACTGGCAATGAGGCCAGAGATCCTGGAGGTTGGGATGAGAGGCTGCCCTGCCTCTTTCTCTGGTGCACTTTATTTCAACTTCACGGCTTTCCAAAAGTGAGCCTGGGACACCTACTGGCGAAGGATAGACCAAAAAGGTTGGATGTTTAAGTGAACTCATCCTGAGTTGTTCCATGGCATGTCCTGTGACAAAGTAGGAAGGGATGTGAGATGGAGACTCACAGTGTGGATAGCAGGTTATATTTCCACCCAGGTAGGATCGGTTCCATGGAACATTTTTTGTCTACTCTGCCTTTTTTTTTGAGACAGGGTTTCGCACTGTAGTGTGGAGTGGCTTTGAACTGTCTCAGGTAGCCCAGGCTGGCCTCAGCTCGTAGCTGTTCTCCCTGACCGTCTCAAGTGCCGAAATTATGGGCATGCACCACCATACCTGGCTCTTCTGTCTACTCTTAAAATCTGATTATTTATATGGCAAGTTAGAATTGGAAAGAACATTTTTAGGTGAAACACTAAATGGAAGTTTAAAAGGCTAGTTGTCCTCTGCTGTCCTCCACATCTCCCTTAGCACTCCATAGAAAATGATTCCTTTACCCATGGTAGCCTTCCTGATTTGAATCTCCATGTTATGGAAAAAGTACTAGACTGGGAGGTGGCAGAATTGGGTTCTTCTTGTCCATTGTTGTGTAAAGTCATCTCTGGTGTTAGCAATTCCTGACATTTAGGTAAGTCTCTGTTTCCTTGTAGTAGGAAGATTGAACTAAGTATTCTTAAAATTCTTGATAGTTATATTATTTTCTACTTCTTGTTTATCGGTTGAACCAGTCTGTGGCACAAAAGCCAGATGAAGCATAAGTGTTGCTCTACCACTGACATTTTGGATGATAATAATATAGTAAACCTTTTCTTTAGGTATTGGCAAACAAGATCAAACAGGCCCTGCAATGAATTTTGCTATCACGTGGTCCTTTGAGTAAACCATCTGAATTCTTTTAGTCTTAATTATGTCTTGATTTTTTTGCAGTCTAGCGTGTAGTTATTGTTCTTTTTGTTTTTGTTTTTAATTGTGTGATAGTAGGCTGGGAATCTGCAATTTTATGTTAAAATTGTGGTGACTGCTGTATCAGGCAGAGAGAGTTGATTCAGGGTCTTATGATCAACTTTGTGGGTTGATTATATCCCTACACCACTGCAGAAGTAAGTAATTTAAGTGGAAACTGGTTTCACTTCTTCTCTATACCCTGCCTGACCAACTAGCACACACATCACCTTTCCATAGTCCCCTCTACAGCTTCCTGAAATAGTTTCTGAGTCAAACTTTGAGTCGTGATAGGCTTGCGGGGGAGGGGTGGGGAGGGGAGGAGAACATCCATAATTAAGGGGTTAGCAACATAGAAGACTTGGTTTTGAGAAAAGCTGTTGAATCTTTATTTATTTTGCTTATTTTTCCTTTTAATATTTTTTCATTTATTTTTATTTTTTTCCATTTGATGAACCTCTTTTAAGGTTCACTAGAAATCTGAACTTGAATTTGAACCTAAAAGTATCTTTTTAAAAATAAATTACAGAGGGACTGGGGATTTAGCTCAGCGGCATAAGCGCCTGCCTTGCAAGCAGGCAGTCGTGAGTTCGATCCCCGGTACCAATAAAAAAGAAAAAGACAATAAAATAAAATAAATTGCAGAGATTTTGTTTTGAGCTTAAACTGTATATGTGAAGATGGTAAAGGGAAACATCATTTTTGTAAGGTTTCTGAATAGAAAGCTACTTAGAAAAATTACATATTTTCTCAAGCTCTTCTTCGAAGTAAAGAATGACTTTCTCTAGTATCTCTGAGGTGCTGGGTTTGATAGCTGGCCCTGCAAAATTAAAGCACAACAAATTAGGACCATAACTTTGTTTGCTCCATTGGCTTCTTGACTAACCTTTTCCCCACCCCTTAAATGATGAGAGAAGGGAAGGTCTTTAAAGATACATCTTCCATATTGTAGGAATTTACCCTCTCCTGGAGCAGAGAAACTTTTCATCTCCACAGAAGAGTGTGTATTACTGAATGGAATATTTGGCAGTATAAGTCATTCCCAGCTGAGAGTAAGAATAAGGTCTTGGGGAGAAAATAAGGGCAAAAGAGGTAGAGAAAAGAAGAGCAGAAATGAAAAGGGGAAGTGATGAGAAATGTTTCAAGAGTTCAGAAAAATAACCCAAAGGTCTCCAAGTGAAAAGAGGGTTATAGAGAGAGAGTCACTTTTGGTTTGTTTATTATGTAACACAAAGTGAGTAGAAATAGGATTTCTTGTTTCTCTTCTAGTAGTATACTGTTTGAATTTAAGTTAGTATTAGAATAATTCAGTTGTGTAGAAAATGTAAACAAAAATTGAAGAGGATGTTCAAGTTTTAGGATTCAAGAGACTTGACTTTTACAGAAAGCATACTGTTCATACTGCTGTCTTCACATAATGCTGTGTTTTGTTGTTCACTTCTTTGTTTTGGAGAAAGGGTCTCACTGTGTAGTTCAGGCTACCCTTGAAATCATTATGCTGCTTAAGGTGTCCTCAAACTCGCTGTGATCTTCCTGCCTCAGCCTGCTGAGTGCTAGGGATTTACAGGTATGCTCCACCACTTCCAGCTACATCATGCTATTTTAGAGGGCATTTAAATTGTCCTTAAAGATTCATTACTGACCGATGTCTTCCTTTTTGGGGATAAACACTTTTTTGGTGTATAGTGAGAAAGGAAAGTGTCTTGTGTTTCTTAATGTGAAGAATAGCTGCTCTGTAATCTATAATTCCTGGAGTGTGCTTTTCTTTTCTAAAGCTTAAATTTTATAGCTTAAGTAAAACACATATATTGGGAAATGAACTACATTTTAAGTTAATTATGATTGAAAAAAACAATTGGTGGTCCTTAAATTGTTTGCTTTTAACAGAGTATAGCATATAATTCAACAGAGAACTTTAGTGACAGTTTACTTACTTTGATTGTTTCTGGAAACTTAAAAATTAAACAATAATAATGTTTTGAATTTTGCAAAAATGATTGAAAAGATACAATTATCATGAATCTGTTGAAGATACCTCTTTTAAAATTTTTTCTTGTTTAAACTTACAATGGGGGCTTAGTACAGGTAATAAGAATTTGCCACATAGGTATTTGTAAGGCCATAACTTTAGTCATATTTTAATGATATATATTTCTGCTGCTCTGCAGTGTTTAACATTAAACTTCTCCAAAGCATGCAACACTTAAAAAGATATAGACATGTAGACTTTGCAACCTCATTGTTGAAATGATACAAAAAATAGATATCTTAATAATACTGTAAGTCTCCAACTTGTGAACATGCATGTTGTGAACTTGCACAGATACATACAGACTCACCATTATGAGTATTTGTAGCACTTACTGGCACACCCCTAGGATGTAGTGCCTACTGTGTGATACAGCCTGTTGCTCCTTTGCTATGAACCTGTACATCATGTTATTGTACTGAATACTATAAGCCATTATAACACAGTGTATTTGTGCATCTTAACTGTATCTAAACCTAAAAAGATATGGTAAAAATATAAGCTGATAAGAGTTTTTCAGTTTCTTTATAATTTCACACCAAATGTGGTATAATCCCAGTACTCGGTAGGCTGAGGCAGGAGGATCACCACAAGTTTGAGGCCAGCCTGGCCTACATAGTGAATTCAGGCCAGCCTGAACTACATAGTGAGACCTTGTCTTGAGAAAAGCAAACAAACCTAAAAAACAAAACAGAAACACCTCCCCCTGAAGAAAACCCCAAAGAACATAACACACACGCACAATTTCATGAGATTACTGTAGTATATGTAGTCTATCTTTGGCATAAACATCATAATGTAGTGTGTGATTCTGTGTGTTTGTATGTGTGTATAAAACTTGGCTAGTAGGCAAAAGTAAGCTAGACTTGGAATTCTGGACTTGTGTAAAAATTGTCATGTTAGATATAAAAGAATACTATTTTCCAGCTGTGTCAAAGTTCCTGGTATTAGAATTTAGTCCTTAAAATAAGATGAAAATATGTTTTGAATGATTTAGGTGACGCTAAAAATATACTTTAAGTCGTTTTTTACAGTGTTGATTTATATAGCCTATTTATGTAAGATCAAGCAAATAAAAAGGTACTTAACAGGGTTAATGGTACCATGTCCTTTTTGTATCTTACTAGTTTAACTAGCACTGTCCTCAGAACTTGTTTTTTCCTGGCAGTTGATCCAGTCCCCTGTAACAACTCCCCTTGGGCTGATCATGTTGAAGACAACCTCAGAAGAGCTAGCTTGTCCACGTGAGGACCTCAGTGTGGCTCGGAAGGAGGAGTTGCGGAAGCTGCTGCTGGACCAGGTGCAGACTGTGCTTGGGCTCCTGACAGGTAATTAGTTGGTGGCACCGAGAGAAATTCCCAGAGCTTAGACCTTTTGAACATTTCCTGGCAATACGCATAAAAACAGAAGGAATTTAGTGCTGTCCTCCTCCTCCCCTGTGGCCCAGTGTTGAACACATACTTGGACCTCACAGTAGATTTATAACTTAATTTCCTTGTAGTCTTTCGTTAGTTGGTCCTCACTATCCCTATGATTAATTAAGTATAATCTAGGTCATGGGGAAGTGACTGAAATGCCAGTGCTGTAGTAAGTTAGGTGGATGGCAAGCACATCGTTTAAAATAATTTGAATTTAAAACCAGGAGAAGTTGGAAGAATGGGAAGATGTGAAGACTTCCTATTCTTAGTGACGAGGTGACACAAGGTGGAGAATCAGCCCCTGTGCCCTAGGTTGCAGTTGTGAGTAGCACTTTGTTCCATCTTAGAGTTTTATAGTGGGGTGAATTAGAGTTTTATAATGGGGTGAAAATGGCAAGTACATAGGGGCTGGGGATTTAGCTCAGCAGCAATAAGCACCTGCCTTGCAAGCAGGCGGTCATGAGTTCGATCCCTGGTACCGATAAAAAGAGAAAAAGAAAAAAAAAAAAAAAAAAAAAAAAAAGCAAATGGCAAGTACATGACACAGTGAGACAGAAAGCTGGGAAGAGTGGAGTGCCTGAGACCCTAAGGCCGTGGGAACTTGCTTGTTTAGAGTGTGTGTGTAGCAGCTCAGCACTGGGCCCTACTGTGCTACCAGAAGGAGTGTCCCAGTAAAAAGAAGTGTTCTTACCTCCTGCTCCTCCACCCAGATTTCTGCTTAAATATCTGGTAACTTTTCTTTTTTTATGTCCTCTTTGATGCTTGGTAATTAGCAGTACTTGAAATTGGTTGAAAGGATGATTGATTAAATGTAAACTTGTCATTTGTTCTCTGTATTTCCTTAAGTCCCACGTGGACGCTCAGGCCTCAGAACATTTATGTCAAAGCATACTTGTTGACACCCCCACCTACATGTTAGGGACCATGTTTTATGTCTTTATGTCCTGTACCTAGCAGCATTTCAAATGTTTAAAATATTGAAATATAATTCACATAGCGTAATATTCACTACTTTATTTTATCTATTTATGTATTTATTTAGTACCAGGAATTGAACTTAGGACCTGGTGCTTGCTTGGCAGGTGCTGTGCTGCTCAACTGTATCCTTGGCCCAATATTCACTGTTTTAAAAAATAGTAATTCAGTGTTTTTTAGTATACTGACAAGGTTGTACAGCCATTACCGCTGTCTGCTTGTGGAACGTTTTTATCTCCCTAAAAGAAACTCTGCATCCATTAATGGTTGCTCTGCATTCTCTTTCCCTATTCCCTGGCAACCAGTGATTTACTCTCTGTCTATATGGATTTGCTCATTCTGGACTTTTATAAAGTGGAATCATGTATGACCTTTTGTGTCTGGTAACCTTTAACAGTATTTTCTTTTTTTTTGTCTTTTTCTTTTTTATCGGTACCGGGGATCGAACTCACGACTGCTTGCTTGCAAGGCAGGTGCTTATGCCGCTGAGCTAAATCCCCAGCCCCTAACAGTATTTTCAAGATATATCAATTATAATATTAAATGAAGTAAAATATTATTTTACTTTATACATATACCTTTACTTTATATAATTATTGCATGTGCCAGGATCTGTAGGTGTACACAGGAATAAAGCAGTTCTTGCCCTCTAGTAATTCTCATCCTCCTAGGAGAGAGGCCAGTAACCAGGTAGCTAAAAATCAGTGTTTAAAGAGTTAAATAGAAGTATGTTTCATGTGTAGCCAAAACTGCAGACTGTAGGAAGCAATAATGAATGGAGTTGTGAGGCACAGGTACAGGTAGTTTGATGGAAAAGTCAGGTTGGGATTTGGGATGAGAGAACAAGTCAAAGGTGGAGAAACATGTTGAAGGCCCTTTGATGTTTTGGTGCAGTGAACTTTGTGTGAGGTAGCTTGAAGACTGGGTTGGTGAGCAGAAGCCAGGTGCCAAGATTTGTGTGATGTGATACTTTTACCCAGTGAGCAATATAAGAGGATTAATGGTAGGTTTGTGGGGAAGAAAAGCTGAGTTGGGTGTGTCCAAGTGGAGTTGTCCAGAAAGCAACTGACTATTCAGGTCTGTGAGTGGGTATCTTGCCTCGTTTTTAAGTTTCTGCAGTGTCATGTGATGTGATGTGAAGCTGGTGTATATAGTCAGGATGAGTTTTAGAGAAGCCTCATAATGTTTTGCTAAAGCCATGGCAATAGGTAAGTTCCTTCACAAGGTGAAAGGAGAGGAAAAGGTGATGCGTGAACAATGGGTTTGGGAAAAGAAGTATAATTTAAATGACGGATGGTCGGAAGGTGGTGTAATGGAGAAAGGGACAGAAACGTGTTTAAGGCAACCAATGAAGAGAAAGGCACTAGAGAGTCAGAAAAGAGTTTAGGCAGTGGCCTTGAATGTCAGAGTAGACAAGGAGGATAAGGAGTAAAGCGTCTCATAAGTGGACGTAGCAACCACGTGACCGTGGGAGAGAGCAACATTGGTAGAAATAGTGGGAAGAAGCAACAGGTTGAGACGAGGCAACGGAGACCCTCAGTGGAATAGTGCTTTCCAGAATGATAGCTGAGAATGCAGAAGCATGGCCATTAGCTACAGGGGAACGTACTGTTGAGAGGGTGTTTAAATACTGATGTTTGATGAAAGAAATCAAGTCATTTTTTCAGGTCTGATTTTGATATGCTGTACTTTACATCTCTCTTAAAGTCAGTTTCTCCTTTCTTGGTAGGTATCTTGGAGACCGTCTGGGACAAACACAGTGTTACTGCTGCCACTCCACCACCATCCCCGACCTCAGGAGAAAGTGGTATGGTCTGCCTGTCATTTAATGCAGTGTGTGTGGAGGATGTGTCGAAACAGCATAGCTTTCACAGCTTCTGGATACAGATCCTGATTCTTCCCTTACCTGTTTTGGCCTTTCTGATCATGTTTCCCAGTTAGCTAGCTTTCTATTTTTTTTCCCTAACTATGTGTACTTTCTAATATACTAGCTTAAATAACACATTTTGCTTCTTTTGTACTCAAGATAAAGATGGCACCTTTGATGTTTCCTCATCTGCCTCAGTCTCTGTCAGCTTTTAATTGGTATGCCTTCTATCTTGGGCCATTAGCTTTTCTTTTTTTCTCAGATTTCATGGTTGTCTTGCTTGTGTTGAGGTGGTTAGGAGCCCTGGGCGTCACAGGTCCACTTAGCTGAGTAGGAGGTAGCAGCAGCCTAAGAGGACCTGGGAATGGAGAGTGCTTTCCTCCTCATGGACTGGAGTAGGAGTCATGTTGGCCAGGGCACATTGTCCAGTGCACATAGGCAATTTATATTGGTTAGGAATAAATTGATAAAGCCTGGGCATAATCACAGTGGTTATTCAGTACTTCACAGTCGCTAGTTATTGTCTACAGTTATAGTGATATCTGTTTCAGAAATCGACTACCTTCAAAGGATGGTTGAAAAGAGGAAATTGAGTCTGAGCAGGAACTTGTAGTTTCTTAATCCTTCTGTTTACACTAAATGATGGCAAATGCTTTTCAAGTAGAGTACATCCTGTGAATTGGCATCTATTTTCTTCCTGTACTGTAAAGGTTGATGTGACTAATGAGAAATATTTCCACATTTTTTTTTAACCCCAAAGAAATGGACTGTTGAAATCAGTTATTTGTGTGATCTGATTCCAAGTTGTTTTATATAACCTCTTGTTAATATGTGGAAATTGAAATTTTTGCAGTTACCATAGAATTAAAATACATCATGAAGTTTTGGAAACTGCTCAGAGTACACTACTCCAAATTTCATTTATCATACTTGGATTAAAAACTGTTAGAAAGGCATTTATCATGCAGTTTAGATTAAAAACTATAGCAGAGTACTGGAGTATATTAAAAGCTCACAGAAATTTGAATTATATTATTTGGTGGCAAACCATTTGTGTGTGTGTGTGTGTGTGTGTGTGTGTGTGTGTGTGTGTGTGAGAGAGAGAGAGAGAGAGAGCGCACGTGCGAGAGAGAGCGAGAGAGAGAGAGACAGAGAGAGAGAGAAAGAGAGAGAGGGAAAGAGGGAAAGAGTATGAGTGTTACTGGGGATTAAATCCAGGCCTAATTCCTGCTAGGTAATTGCTCTCCCACTGACTCTACCCACCCTTGTCCCAAACCACCATTTGAGATGGCTTAGTAGATTTATGTTTTTTGGTCTTTGGGTGAGTAAAGAAAAATTTGTAGATGATATGGAGATTAGATTTTATGATTTGATAAATATGTTAGAGTCTCTCTTAGTTTGTTGAGGCTTTAAATTTGTTATTTTACTTAAGTGTGATTTATAAAAATCAGTTCTTTTTGAATTGAGTTTGCCTTTAGATAGTAGGATGCTACCATTTTAGCATCCAGTTAGAGTCAGGTGCAGAGCTCACTGCAATAAACCTTGTTTTTCAAAAATCATTTTTCAGTCTGTAGAGATACATGTTTTATTTGGCTTTGTTCAGGCATGTTCTGAGCTAAGTTCATTTGTACTTTGATAGACTTTATTTTCCTTGGGGCTAGGTTGGGGAATATCAGATCATATAAATGAAAAGTATATTCTTTTTATGTGTTGCCTAGGTTTTGTTTATAAAGTTAGGTGAAATAAACTTGACATTTCTGTGTAACAAAACCTGGACATGTGGAGCCTACTTCTTGAGAATTGCCATTTAACCATTTTAAACTGTTTTTAAGTCTTCATTTTTAGTATTTGAGAAGATAATAAATAGAGACGTGGTGGAGTGGAAGCCTAGATGTGGTCGAGGTGGAAGCCTAGCTTAAGTAAGTTTTTAAAACTGGTGTGCTTCTCCTTTAACAACAGCCACAGAAGGAATTGTATGTGCATTTGCTGGATTTTTTTTCTCTTTATGGTAATGGCAGGTAAAGTTATTAGATCTTAGTCCATTACTTGGATAGTGTTGATGATTTAATCAGTGTTTATTTTTGCGGCTTTCTTTGTGCACTTAAGACACCAGATTAAATAAAACTTCAGAAAACTGCTTAGCTTTCTTGACTTCAAGGCTGAGTTTTGTAGAAGATCATTCTGAGAAACTGTAGGACCCAGTGAATAAACCAAACTAATTCCTTTGTGTACCCCATCAGCCGTCTTTGGTGGGTGCTCCCTACTCTGCCTGAATTCCTAGGAGATCTCTTTTGGACTTAGGAGTTTTTTAGGCTTTTTGTTTCTTTTCCCATACACTTTCCTTTAATATAGTTTTGTCTGGTTACTTTGAAAGAAGAGATCTATAACCCTCTGGAGATACAAGGTTTAAAAGAGTGTTACCACTGTAATGATCTCTCTGTGTGCTACTACATGGGACTTCTGTGAAGCAGCTGATTGTTATATGTCTTATTTACAAACAAGGAAACTAGGGCTTATGGAGGGTAATCGGTCAGAGTTCACATAGCTCATGAGCAGTGTAGCAAGGTCTTGACTTCATCATCCTGTGTCCAGGCACATGGTATGTGTTTCCAGTTGCCCCCACCCCAGTTCTTACCATGTTGAGGTTGAGCCCTTCAGCTTGGTAGGCAGGCGCTTTACCACTGAGCCTCACCTCCAGTGCCTAATTTTGCCTTCTGGTTTACTGTCACCACTTCTGGCCATATCTTCCTTCCCCTGGTTTTGAGTTGTAGACTTCCTGCTTACTGTATGACCTTGAACAGATCTTTTTACCTTCTCTTGACTATGCCCTTAGCTGTAAAAAGAGAGTAGCTGCTTCCGAGGTAAGGGGAGGGAAGGAAGATTTGATACAGCTCTCTGCCTGGGGCACCTGTGCCTTCCTGCTGTACTTCTATAACCTGTGCCTCTTACTCTCCTCTTGTCTGCACTTCTTGCTTGGACAAGTAAAGGGAAAAGTGCAGAAGGGAATCAGGTAGCTACTTGAATTCTTGGTTAGGTTTGATTATCTTGCAATAAAAATGAAGGCACTATATTGTTTCCATCCACATGGTGCATAATAATTTCAAGTATAGATCTGTGTTATATTAGATACACTGAATTGAGAACACACCGTATCTTCCTACTTTCTCCCAAATTCTTTTCCATTTGTGTATCTTTGTACATATGCAAATCTTTTCACGTATAAGCTACCTATGAAAAAATAAAGACTCAGAATGAGTTTTCCATAACTCCTGTGATCTCATGGCCTCCTGTCAAGGGCTCCTGGAATAGTTTCCTCTGTTAATGGTAGTTACATCTGTGGTTCTTAACCAGGCAGTTTTCACCCCACAGGGCATGTTTGGCAATATCTGGTGAAATTTGTTAGTAGATAGGTTAGTAGAACTGGAAGGTGCTGTTGACATCTAGTGAGTGGAGACCAGGGATATCCGTAAATATCCTGTAGTGCACAGAACATCAAAGAATTAACTACCCCAAATATCAGGAGTGCTGAGGTTGCGAAACCTTGAATGAGTAAATGTAGAACTGAATGGAAAACATAAAATATCAGTAAGTTAAAAAGAGATACAAGAAAAAAAAAGCTGATGAGAACTATACATGAAGATGTATTACAAGCCAAACAAAAAAAAAGATGTATTACAAGCATGGCAACTATTTCTGGGTTGGGTCAGTCAGTAAATATACATTTGTATATATACCTCTTTGGACATGGGCGCATGTTAATGCCAGGGCCTGGCCTAATTCAGAAAAGATAGTCACTCACAAGTGCCCTCCTACATAGAGATTTTAGAAGTTTGCATTGGAAATGTTGCAGCATAAAGCTGAGTCTCTGTTCTGTGGTGATTAAAATTTAAAAAAAAATTTTTTTTTTTAAAGATGGGTTTTGGTGTTTTGCCCAGACTGGCCTCAAACTCTTGGGCTCACATGATACTCCAGAGTAATTAGGACTGTAGGACTACTGTGCTCAGATTTTAAAATCATATTTTATTGAGAAACAAAGTTAAAAGCTTCTTTGGGGAGGGGATAGAAGAACCTCACAGATCAACCTCTACGTGATCTTATTTTTGTCCTTGTGCATATGTCTGTCTGCAGTTGCAGTTATGTTGTACACATGGTATTTATGGCATGCATATTTTCCTGTATTATTACCTTTCTTCTTGTTCATTTTTTCTGGGGACATAAGTTTTCCAGTTGACATTTTTGGAAAGGAGCATCAGCTTTGAGACCTAGCCTGATTTTTTTTTTTTTTTTTTTTTTTTTATTGTTGTCTGTTGCTAATGAGGGACTTGGAGAAATACTTGATTCATGTATACTTAGATTTTTCTAACAGTCTCTAAATGCTAATAGTATTTGCCTTAGAGCTATAAAAATGAGAAATTGCAATAAGAATACACTTATGAAATCTTGAGTACGGTAGCTGGTTTTACTCTTATCAATGACCCTTGACCTTTTTCCCCCTTAGCAATCCCATTCTGGAAAAAGTCTTCTGTGTCTCCTGATAGGGACAACTTCTTACTCTTTTAACAAGGAAATTAAAACTTCTATTAATAAAATCACAAAATTTCATTTTAGTGACTGAGGAGATTGAGGATGACAAAAGTTGACTTGTTCATACTTACACCATTGATGTTAGCACAAAGTTCTCCGTAGGTCCCAGGATTCTTGGAGGTCCTCTTAAATTTCTGGGGCACCAAAAGAGCAAACACATGCTCATAAAAACTCTGAGACATTGTTTTTAGTGCCATTTTCTTGTGAATATACAGAATAGAAAAACTCACTGAAATTCCACATTGTACTTAACCATTTAAGAAATTAATACTTGTCAAATTTTAATAACATTAAAATTACTTAAAGTGGCATCTAAAAACTTTCCAGTTGCATATCTATGAAGCTGAATTTTCTCA